CTCTCTCTCTCTCTCTCTCTCTCTCTCTCTCTCTCTCTCTCCTTGTTATCTAACAATTAAGAAGTACCTGAAGCTTGAAGCTCAGCTGAAACTTTCTTTGTAGGATAACCAACAGGATGATGATCGTTATGTATCTCCACGACTTGCTTCGAACTTATGCCCGAAGTTGGTTTCCTACTCTCACTGTTACAACCATTAGAGATCGTGTGCCCATTAGGGTGAAGTAGAGAAGTCGCAGAAACAGGGCCATTGATGAAGCTTTTGTTGGGTTTTTCTGAGCTTGTAATCAGTGGGGAGAAAAAGTCGAAAAGAAACCCAACAGCCAAACTGGACCTGTAATCAGGCTTTGAGGTTCCTTCTATAGAAACCACCGTCATTTTAAGAATTCGGATAGCCTCTAATAACACAGAGGGAGTAATTGATTTTCCTTTTAAATACTCTTCTACCTTCCTTGCTCTGATAGCTTGTTTAGTCCCATAAGCTCCAAAGGCCAAACTAAGATGACCCAAAACCAGTTCTCCTGTTGATTCATTACCCAAAACCTCAGCCATAAAAGCAGCATTGACATAGGCCAGTGCGCCGCCAAGAGGATAAGGAGCAGCTCTGTAAGTCTCAAACATCAGTCTCGTTGCTCCCTCTAGCTCACTAGTACCATTATTCAGAGAGAAAGGGTATAATTCACTTCCACCTTCAGTCTTAGAGAGAGGAGGGACTCCACTCCAGCTCGGTATTCGAACACTCACTAGCAAAGTCTGAGGGTCACATGGTGGTTGCCCAAGGAATTCCTCCATGCTTAGGGAGAGAGTTCCTCTTGGGGTCTGAATTATGACCGATGAACAGGCACCGAGTAGAATGGTGGCTATATCAGATGGGAACTCATTCCTCTGAGCCATAATCAAATTACCCCCTAAACTTGCCATATTTCGAACAAATTTCGAAGCCACCATGTTCAAGTGATTCACTACTTTCTTGAATACCAACTGCTGTTCATTCTGTTTATTCCTCAATGAGATCTCTTCCTCCAAAAGTTCTATAACCTTTGAGAGGGTAAAACCTGCACCGATATCAATCCCTTCTTTCTCTCTCTTAATCATCAAGAGCTCAGGTATATGTCTTATATCAATGTATTTCTGATAACTCCCTTGGTTTTTATAATAACCGGCGCTGGTATTTCCGGCCACGAGCTTCACTTTGTTTCCATTCTCTTCTGATCTCAGCATCTCCATGAGTTCTACTAGGCTAGTTGGTGTGATCCAATACCCATCTTCTGGTTCTCCCCATTCACTCTTATACACTAAATTCAATTTTCCCTCTCTAAATTCATCAGTTGGTTCTGCTACATTCTTGAGAGATTCAGGAAAGGTGCATACACTGTTTGGAACATAAGGAGGTAATTTGCTTACGTCTAGAGTCTCTCCCTTTCTGCAAAAGGAATTCAAGCCAAGATCCTCCATGTCTACATCACTGCAAAAGCTTTTACCAGCATCAATAATGGGCCTGTAACCCGTGCACCTGCATAAGTTTCCAGCTATGGCTCTCTCAGCTTCGGAAACTGTGAGCTTAGAAAACCCAGGTGGGGGTTCAGGCCTAGAGCTTTTATCAGCTTTAGAGAGAGAAGAGTAGAGAGAGATGCACATTCCAGGGGTGCAAAAGCCACACTGTGAGGCATGAAAACCTGCAATTCTCTGGTGAATTGAATGAAACCCATCTCTCTGGTTTCCGAGACCTTCACTTGTTGTGATTGAACAATTGTGCAGGCTGCACAAAAGAGTGAGGCAAGAGCTCACTGAAAGTTCTTCTACATCTCTGGTTTCAGGATTATACTTTGAAATGAGCACTAGACAAGCTCCACAACCACCTGTAAATAGAGAGAGTGAGATGCTAGAGAGGGAGAGAGAGTTATAAATGCTTAAATTTTACATGTTTGAACTCATTACAAAATATAAAAAACAGAGCCCCACATACCAAATTAAATATCTCAAAATAGCATCAAATAAACACTCTCAAAATAGCATACAATAACTGAAACAGAGAGAGAGAGAGGGAGAGAGAGGGAAACTTTAATGAAAGCCATGATAACTCAAAAAGAAACTCAAGGAAAAAAAGAGAAGAGCGGATATAACTCGTAAGATGAGAGAGAGGAAATATGGCAGAGTAGTTCGATGATCCAAAATCAACTACTTTTAATTCTCCACAGTAAAACTCATTATACTCAATTCTACGAGTTCACTAACTAAAAATTCACAGGCAAAAGTTAATGGAGAGAGAGAGAGAACAACTACTTGAATTCTCCACGCTAAAAAACATTACACAATCCATAAACTTCCCAAACTAAAATTCATAAGCCAAATTTTAGAGAGAGAGAGAGAGAAGCTATGAGTGATTAAAATCAGAGGAAAAGATGGACCTTCTCCACACCCTAGTTTGGGTCCTTTGTAGGGTGTTTGGGTGCGAAGGAATTCCAACAAAGTGGTGGACGGGTCTACATTAGAGACCTCTTTCTTCTCCCCATTCACTGCAAATACCAACTTCTGCTTCATGCTTCCTCCCTTTTCTTCTTCTCTCTTGCAACTATGAAGTTAACTGAAGTATATATCCTTAGAAATCTCTCTCTGACCTTAGTTTGCAACTATGATCTAGCTGATCTGGATCTCAAAGAACTATCTTTCATTTTCTTCAATTCAAGATATGAAACGAAAATCCTCTGTTCAACTAAGATATGTCGTACTCAGAAGAAAAAACTCTGCTCTATTGAAGATTTCAAGCCTCATGGAAAGGAAACTTTGAAAAAGTCGCAAGAGTGGTATAAAAAATTTCATTTCTTAATATTTCAGTCTTTCTCTGCCAGAATAAAATACTTCATTTCCAGCGTCTGACGGCTCTCTTCCTTCGGGTTATGACAGGGGACGTTACACTGTCGATGGCGGCCATAGATGTCATTCCTGTTGTCATTTGGCTGAATTATATAAGAATAATATAATATATATATTAC